AAACCGACTTAATTTTTCAAATTACCATAATGTATTCACTTAGGAAGTAAAGTTTAGACGAATTTTGACTATTAAGACTATTTTTCTGAACACTTAGCAACAATGGTATGCCATATTTCATTTTTAAATAATAATGTGCAAAAACTCGGTGTTTTTTAATGGGTACCCGTTACAAAAAAACCGATTACTTTCTTAAAATTAGAGTAATATAGACACTTCAGATTTAAAGTTTCAATAAATTCTGACGACTCCTTCCTGTTTTCGTAAACACCACAATCAGCAATGATTATGCCTTATTTGTCTTTCATATAGTAATGTAAAAAAAAAAATCTTTTTTTTTTTTAATAGGTACCCGGTACCGAAAAATCGATTTCATAAGCATGGCTTAGTCCTTTTAGGTGTAAAGTTTCAACAAGTTCTGAATACTATTTCGGTTTTTATAAACATATGTCTACGATGATTATGAGTTATTTTACCTTTTTATAAAATTGTAAAAAAATTTTTTTTTTAATTAAATGGTAACAGATGCTGAAAATCGTTTTTTTTTCTTAAATTGCCGTGATATAGTCCTTTCAGGTGTAAAGTTTCAGCCCATTCTGATGCCTCCTTCCACTTATATCAACACATGTCCACAATGACTATTTTCATATAAAAATGCAAGAAAACCTCGGTTTTCTCGAAATGAGTAACCGGTACAGAAAAACCGATTTCATTTTTGAAATTAGAGGGGCATAATACTTCTAGGTGTGAAGTTTCAGCTAATTCTGACCACTCCTTCTATTTTTGTCCATCATTTGTATGGAGTCGCGGCACTGTGCGGCGCGACACTTTTTGGTATACCGCACTGAAACTGCAGCGGCGCGACACTTCGCTGCAATTTTTTTTTTATTTATTTACATCAAAACCTTCAAACAAGATGGATGCCAGTGACGCTGATGTAATGCTAATGCCTTTTATTTTTATTTTCCTTGGCGAATTCTCCTCGAATTTAATGTTTCTTTACATAAAATTTTCTTGAATGAAATGCATGTGAATATGCACTCACAATTCGAAATCAATTTCTTCAAATTAAAAATATGTTACGAAATGTTATGTCGCTCCGCTGGGTATACCACACTATGCGGCACCGGAACTGCGTGACACCACGCGACGCGACATTTTTGCCTAGTTGATCAACTTTGCCGCGCAGCGTCGCGTCGCGTAGTTCCGCTGCAGCGTAGAGGTATGCTCTATAAGAACACATGCAAAGAATATTTTGCCGCGCTGTGTAGTGTCGTGTCGCGTCGCCTAGTGCGGTCGTACCTTAAGACCACCATTTTCTATACACTGTAAATAAAATTCTATCTAGATTTCAAGTCATCTGAAATATGTTGAGCAATCGGTTTTCATCATATATGTAATACTTCTATATTGGCAGTAAGCTAGCTTCTCAATGTGTAAGCATTTCGAAATCAAAGCGAGACAGTCTAGTACCGTTTTTGTCAATGTATTGTGTACGTGAGTGCCGTTTTTGGATGTGTGTTGTGTACATGTTTATTTATAAACGTATGTGTTCATTTTCTTTCAAACGTGTTTATTGATATATCTGTACTGTAGTGTTTTCGGACGGTACTAGCTCTTACTGCCAATATAGTACATATTACATAGTATTTCATGGTTTTCATAGACATCTTCAATAGTTTAAAACGCATAATCAAGACCGCTGTTCAGCAGCCAGCCCTCCGGGATCTCGATTTATATATTAACAAGCTAAGCTCACAAAAAATTTCAATCGATCTGAAGTATGACGAGTTTTTTGATCATGAGCTCTCCGTCTATTACCATTAAATGTTTTTATCACGATTTTACCCCGTGGTACAAAAAAGAAGGTAGTTCCATTGTCACTTTTCGTCGCCATATTAACAACCTGACAATTAAGTAGATTGTGACATTTCGTGCTACCGTATCCAATATCTAAAATCCTCCAAATTTTGTTACTAATTTTTTTGTTTATTTACAAACATTTTGCTCTAAGAATCGAAATTTGAATAAGCAAAAGGTATTTTGTTGGATACGCCTAGGTTATTTGTACAATAATTTTGGGCTAATGTGTCCAAACGATTAACCCAAAGCGAAAAATTTTAACACACACGTGAGGTCAACCAATTAAACGTAAGTTTAAAATAAAGATTTAAAATTTTCAGATATAAATTTATGAATAAATATTTTTTTTTGTATCATGATTGAAGTTTTTTATTGCAGCGGTCGCCTTCGGTAGGCAATGGCAAACCACAGATATTACTAGCAGGAAAGATAAGCATAAACAAAATTTGCCGTTAGGAATCCCACCACAAACTGGAGGAAAAGCTCGACAAACACGAGGGCCAAATATTCTTTTTTTATTGAACCATAATTTTTCATGTGTAATTTTAAGTCATACAAAAGGCTATTTTTTTCTATGACAAAATAATTTATTGTACGCAAATTCAATTCCTTTGAAAAAAAAACTAGCGCCAACAATGCGTGTCGTCTGGTTTTGCTTTAAGCTGATTGAGGGCTGTTTAGGCTGCCTCTGCATGGGAACACAAATCGAAGGATTTCTAAATGTGGCAGTCTCGCAGGATTTATATCTTTACATTACCCTCTTTTCGGTATCCACATGCATCAGTTTTTTTGGTTGCTTAAATCTTTGCATGGAAAACGATCCATCGTTTATACGGGAAGTGATTTGGAACGGCTTCGCTTGCTTTGGCTACATTCTTGCATCAATACTAACCATGTATCACGCCGAAAAGGATTTATATTTAATTTACTTGTCCGACCTAGAGATAATCGAGGATGACTCTACGCACCCGCTTTTTAATTACTCCAAGTTTCAAGCCATATCTGCCATTGTCACCGGAGTTGTTCATTTGTTGCATTCGGTGCTCGCCGCTGACATATTATTTACAGATATCGCTGTCGCTAAAGCAGAGGAAAACGGTATTGAAGGGAAGAATCGATTTACTCTGTACTTCGGAGGTTTGTGGATTCATACACGCCTAATGAAATGGAAATGGTTTCGACGATTTGAGAGCAAAATGCTTACATCAGACATTGAATGATTAGGTTAAAATGAATAATGCGTCTATATGAGTGAAATACTGATATTTGTAAGTAATTTCTGCATTTTCTGTAAATTTAATTTCTTATTAACTCGTTAATCATATAAGTAAGTATATGTATTTTACATTAACGCATAAACGAAATACAACTTTTAACTCTTTCTGACCATGTCTATATAAGAATATATGGAACTAACAATAGTTTATAGTAATTTAGTAAACTAACCAATTTAAACAGATCGTCCCTCGACAGTCGGGTCTACGTAACCTGAGCGGCCCAGATTCATATCTGTCCGAGGACTGTCAGTTCAGCTTCATTCCCGAAACCTCGTTCCTACGACAGTCGGGTCTACGTAAACGGAACGACCCAGATTCATATCTGGCCAAGGACTGTCACTTTTCAGCATCTTTTCACAAATGTTCTTCGGGGAATCAGTATGCTGTTACAACAACTAGTCTTGAAATATTTTCCGGGGTAAGTATTTGATTGAGAACATTTGCTTGGATATATTCTGTCCATGTCTGCAGTTGGATATTAAATACTTAACTAAATGCATTGACCACACCAACTATTCGCGCGTTTGAATATGTATATTGTTTTCGTATGCAAGTAGAATGTGGTAAACTAAGGGGATAGTTGATGTATGAGAGTACTACGATAAAAAATAAAACTAAATTAAACACTACAAGTAGATTAGTCGAGTTCGATCACTTCGACGACTCCTTTAGAAACGGGGTTTGAAGCAGCGCTGGCATTCTTACTAGAACTCGCTTCTTTTTCCGCAGAGGACTTCTGTAGAAATTCGCTGATGAGAGCATTTTTTGTTGGCTGTGATATTTGTTGTCCACGCGCCACAGACATTAGAAGAGGCACCCGCTTTTTAACCTTTGTCGTTGCTTCTGCTGGTGAAGGAGTTGTTGTTGTTGTTATTTCCGCTATTGGTTTGCTTTCATCAGAAGTTGTTTTTAAATCTATTGTTGTCTGTGCCGTTTTTACAGTTTTAGGAGATTTAAGCGTATCCGTCTTCGCTGTTAGAACTTTTGTGAACTGAGTTATTTCAAGATTACTTCTTACCTTTTTCTCCTTTTTAGGATGGCCGACCGATTTATTTTTTCCTTTTTTTGTTTTGGACTCTACTTCGATCTCTCCTTCCTTTTCCTCATTACCAACTACTTCTGTCGTTTCTTTTGCAGTTGCTTCTTTTTCAACTTCAATCTCAGCCCGTGTACTTTCATCCGTTCCGACTCTTGGTTGCAATGTGTACTTCCAAGTGTTACGTAAACCCAGATTTTCCAAATCCATCTTTTTTAATACATCGGCAGATACAACCCAGCACAAACGTTTTTTATTTTTCTTCTTATTATTTTGTAAAACCTTTACCGAATCTGTAATTGTCCATTCTGCAAAATCGTCAATTTTTTCTCGTACTATCGATTTGATGGGTCCCCGAACTTCTCCGTTCTTTATAGATTCCTCATTGGCTTCCAAGAACGCTATAAATTCTTTTATTAGGAAGTTTTTGGAATGTTGATTGCCGTGTACTAGGCACACTAAGTCCTTCAGCATTCGATCGGTTAATTTGATGGGTTTCACCTTTTCAACCGTTTTCTCGTTTCCGTTGGATGTTGGAGAACCAAGTTCACTCTTTTCGGGTACTTCAGGATCTTCCAGTAGTGGTGGACGTTCGCATAACATTGCACGGATGTTTAAGGTATCCCAGATAATTTTCGGACACAACGCGGGTTGATTGCCGTTTTCATCTATCCAAATACAGCCAATAAGGCGTGGCTTGATTTTTTCCGTTTTCTTTTTCATCTCTTGTGCAAATTCTTGTTGCAGCACTCGCAGTTTAGCCTTTTGTGCCTCACGTGTATTTGCATCGAGAACCTCATCTTCATTTTGCAACTCTTCTTCGCTGAGATGGCCATGTGGAACAAACCATTCATTATCAACCTCATAGTCTTCGTCCTCCGACTCTTTCTCCTTTTCGTCATCACTGCCATCTAAGGATTCGCCAGGCTCTTCTTCTTCCCACTCAAGGTCAGAGTCGACTTCATAGTCAAAATGTTTCTAAATAAAAATACAAGGAAAAAATAGTTAACTAGTTTCAGAAGCTGTTGCTATTGTTATCGGTTCCAGTAAACAATGAAGCGGTCTCTTTAAATGTACTAATATCAAGCATTACTTTTTCTACGTCTAAATATTTCTACATAAAAATATCCAAACTGTGAAATTTCTTATGAATTTTATCTAGCATAATTCAAACTACAAAATTTAATCGCAAACAAAACTGACCGTATCCTGTACAAATGGGCGCCTTGGCTTTATAACGCTCGTTCTTTTCCTCCAAGTACCGTAATAGGGTGGTCTACGATTCTCATGGAATTTATAAAATTTGGCCCGAAAGTGTTCAATGGGAGCGTGTGTTTCCTCAACAATTGCCAATCCTGCACGATCAAGATCATCATCTGAAAAGGTAATAATTAATTGGCGAGTTCTTTATAACTAAGTAAGTATAATAACCTATGATTTGAATGTCGTCATCAGATGCTTTCGTATCTACTGATATGCGTCTCCATCTACCAGGGTTTACTTTGCCATTTTTCAATTCCGCTAGGTACAAATCTTGGCTTTTGGTCAAGCTGTCCATGCACGCATCAACGCATGAGTCTAGTTGCTGCTTTCGCTCTGGGGATAATTGTTTGCGACGTACAGGTGCCAACTTCATATCACCTTTCACTTCAAATGGACGAAAGGCGAGTGTTTCAGGATCACAACCATCATCCTGATACGCCTGCTGCTGGCCTGCATCACCATCTCCATTTGATATGCATTTTGTTTTGAAGAACTTTTGAAAAGCTTCCGCCTCCTTTTTGGCTTTCAAATCTGCGCCTTCCTTGCGTTTACGCTCCTCTTCTTTTTTACGTAACTCTTCTTCCTTTGCTTCATTCCGCTTACGCTTTTCTTCGTTTTTGGCCTCCTGCTCTGCCAGACGCTTCCTTTCCTTCTCCTCTCGCTCTTTACGTTTCTGTTCGTCACGTTCTTCGCGTTCTTTGCGCTTTTGATCATCCCTTTCTTCCCGTTCTTTGCGTCGCTGCTCCTCACGTTCTTCTCGTTCTCGTTTTTTTGCCAACTCTTTGGCTTCTTTCTCGCGCTGTTTTTGCGATCTTTCTTCTTGCAACCGGCGCTCTTTTTCTTCACGCGCTTTGCGCCGTTGTTCCATTAATTTAATTTGCTTAGGCGTTAGGTTCTTCTTCAGCGCCGTATTTGAATCTTCCTTAGTTATTTTTGGGGTGCCTCGAACTTTATGAGCGCTTTCCTCAGCATACGATTTTGATTCCTCATTGACCGTAGACGAATTTTCAGAATCTGAAGAACTCGCGATAACAACAGAGATATCTGCGGATTCTTTATCGGTAACTTTTGCCTGGATATCTTCCGTTGACGATGTGATCTTTTCTACTGATTGTTTTCCCTTTGTTGTCGTATGTTCAATCTTAGTTGCGGAACCCGAAATTACATCCATATCACTTTTTATTGTAGAACTATTTGAATCATGGCTCTGGACTTTGTCTTTGCTAGATTGTACAGACGCAGGTTTCGAAGAATTAGATTCTTCAGGTTTATTGGCAACATTATCTCCATCTTGAGATTGAACTACATGATCTGTTGTGCCCCCTTTTGAAGCAATCGTAGTAGAACTACATCTGCTGTCTAATTCTGAGTCAAGAACATCAGTTTCGATTCCGCCAATTTCTAGTAGTAAAACATTGGAATTCACTTCCGATCCTGAATTGCTTACTTCTTCGACAGTGGTAGTGCACACTTTATTGGAATCCAAATCGATTACCCCTTCAGCCTGTATTGAAATAAAGCAAATACATTAAGGTTATCTATATTACAAATCTTTACAATCATAATCAAGTTATTAATGCAAATGCGACGTAGACTTTCGTACAAAACAGCATTTTGAGAAAAAATTAGTTAGGATATATTCAGCCAAAAATATTGTGTGAAGGGCGATCGGACATGATAACTACATATAAATCAAAGTGTAATAAACATAATGGGACAAATCGCACGTTTAATAATATTGAGATGTAATTCAAAATTTACGTTTTTGGAGATTTCAACATAAAATTAATGGGATCCGTAAGATAAGCCGAAAATAAAAATTTCGAAATTTAAAATTTGTTTAAATCTCGAAATGTTTTGCCGAAACGGAAAATGTCGAAATCGTATTCTTTCGAAATGAAAAAGGTCGCAAAAGCTGCAATACGTCGAAAATGACGAAAAAAAGCAGAAAAAGTTGAATGTTTGAAAAAAATAAAAATTAAGTGTTCAGAGTAGCAGTAGCTTTTCAAAAGTTCTAGAGTTCCTAAGAAGGAAAAAGAAAGTTCTGCAAAATTACGCCGAAAAAAACTTTTTTTTCGAATAAGTGGTCGAGGTTAAATTTTTGAAAAAATTTAAATTATCTATGTGTTTGTTTCTTAACATATACTAAATGTGTCATTTCGAATATCGGTAGTTCCCTTACATTTTAGGTTTTTTTAAATATGTTAGTTTTTTCAATATAGTAAGAATTTTGAAATGTTAATTTACGTTCGTTAATACCAAGTTATCTCTTTAATTATACAACTATTAAATACTAGCTTTTACCCCTTTTCCATCAAAAAATCCGGTTTAAGCGATATTCGAAAAATCAAGATTTCGAAAAAAAATCGTCTATAGATTAAAAAAAAAAACGGTGGAAACCAGTTAGGAAAAACCGAGTCAATTATCCTACTGCCTACACCTCTTTTTTCATATCAAAATCCCATTGGTATATTTCATATTTTATTCGACGTGTCATTTAAATTTATTTTATCTTTTTGAAAAGATGGCAACCCTCCAAAAATATTTTTACAATAATGCATTTTGTTTATCTCGTTTGATACCCACATTGAAATATTTCGTTTAAACTTTTTAATAGAATTCATTTTAACTTTGTAAACAGATAGCGACCATCTTAAAGTATATTTAGTTATCTATTAATTGGCTTTTACTTGTTTAACAGCTGGCAACCCTCTTAAAAAAATGCTTTCGAAGTATATAGTTTCTGAACCGCTTTCGTTTGACATCCACATTGCTGTAATACTTTGTTTAACATGTTAATTAATCGATTTTAACTTTTAAAAGGTGGAAACTCTCTTCAAAAAAATATTTTATATGTTATGCCAGGATATAAAGATCTGTATTCCAAATTTAATTGAAATANTTTTAACAGCTGGCAACCCTCTTAAAAAATGCTTTCGAAGTATATAGTTTCTGAACCGCTTTCGTTTGACATCCACATTGCTGTAATACTTTGTTTAACATGTTAATTAATAGATTTTAACTTTTAAAAGGTGGAAACTCTCTTCAAAAAAATATTTTATATGTTATGCCAGGATATAAAGATCTGTATTCCAAATTTAATTGAAATACATCGTTAGTTGTGTTTTTATTGTAAATTTGTTATACGAGATAAAATTTGTAATTCTATCGACTAGGTGTATGGTGTCAGGTTAGCACTACATAACATTTTTTCTTAAAAAACGAAAGCTACAAATTTTTTAAGTCCACAACAAATTGACAACAAAAAAGCTACAATTAATTCCGTTGTAACCTTTTCAATATCTAATTCTTTCGTCAATGGTGCGTGCTGTCAAGTTAGCACTACATACTACATTTTTTTGGTCGAAAAAGGGTCAACTCAATTTTTTCCAGAAAAGCGAAAGCTACAATTTTTTTCTTTTCACACCGAATATTGAAGTTAAAAGCTACAATTAATGGCATAGTTTTTCCAGAAAAACGAAAGCTACAAATTTTTTCTTTCCACAACAAATTTTATACANAAATTTTTTTCTTTTCACAACGAATATTGAAGTTAAAAGCTACAATTAATGGCATAGTTTTTCCAGAAAANCAATTTTTTTCTTTTCACACCGAATATTGAAGTTAAAAGCTACAATTAATGGCATAGTTTTTCCAGAAAAACGAAAGCTACAAATTTTTTCTTTCCACAACAAATTTATTACAAAAAAGCCACAATTAATTCCGTTGTAACCTTTTCAATATCTCAATTCTGTCGTCAATGGTGCATGGTGTAAAGTTAGCACTACATACTAAAGTTTGTTCGAAAGAGGGTCAACTCAATTTTTTCCAGAAAAACGAAAGCTACAATTTTTCTCTTTTCACAACCAATTTTAAAGTCAAAAACTACAATTAATGGCATAGTAACATATTGGATATCTCAATTCTATCGACCAGGTGTATGGTGTCAAGTTAGCACTACATACCAAGGTACATTGAACAGGTAGTATCAGTAGAGCAGCTGATTTGATTTATTTTAAAATTATTTGGTCTCGAAAATGTCAAATATTTTTAATTTTTTCTCACAAAAATTCTGAATTGTTAAAATCCATTTGCATGTGAAACCTTTTTCCATACAAAACAAGCGATTGAATAGCAGCTTTTGGAACGTTCGCCCAACTCAGCAGCACGACCGCTGATTACTGGGCCTTGCAAANGATGGATCAATGCTTCGAGAAGCAAACAAATTTACTAGGAAAGAAAGTTGCATCAATTTTTATTTTTTCCAATTTCAATTTTTTATTTTTTATAATTTTTTGTATTTCACATGGCACGCTTTGATTTAGAAGAAAAAATTCAGAACAGTTTTTGACACTTTCGATACCAGAAGCAACAACAAAATACACGCAAATGTTGTTTTTGCTCTACTGATACTACCTGTTTAATGTGCCTTGCTACATACCATTTTTTCTTAAAAAACGAGAGCTACACATTTTTTCTTTCCACAACAAATTTTAAAGTTAAAAGCTACAATTAATGCCGTTATAACATTTTCAATATCTCAATTCTATCGACTAGGTGTATGGTGTCAAGTTAGCTATACATACAATATTTACAAACAAATTAGAGCTACAAATTTTTTCTTTCCACTACAAATTGACAACAAAAACACTACAATTAATGCCATAGTTAACATTTCCAATTTCGAAAAGTGTAGTGCTAACTTGACAGACGTACCTTTACCGATGATACTAGTTGTGTTTAATGAGCTGATCTAGGTTACGCCAGGCTAAAATCTTAAATAGACGGCAGTGTTGATCCGGATCAACTTGGGAATTAACTGCAGTTGATCCAGATTAAGTGCGAGTTAATCCGGACCAACGCTGCCGTCTGTTTAAGCTTTAAGATATCTCACAAAATTTTGTTTCATGACGATTTTTCTTGCTCTAACTTACTCTACTTTTTGTTTCATGAGCCTGCGCTAACTGGAATTAGAGCAACTTAGAGTACGATTTTCTGCTCCAGCTTTTTTGGTGGAGTAACTTAGAGCAGGCAAACACACACACACACTTTACAATTGCCGAATTGAACTGTCAATAAATCAACCGTTTTGAGAATTTGCCTGAACGGTGTTTCATGAGATTCCTGATCTGAGTTTGTCTAACTTGTACGATTGTTTTTCTGAGAGCGGAATAGAGTAGCCGCTCTAACTTGAGCTGCTCTGCACTTTCTTCGGTCTCATTAAACACAACTATTATGGGCCAAAAACATACAAATAGCCGATTTAAACCGCTTTTGAATCCCAAACCGTTGTTTTTCCATTTGTCTATTTGTATGAACTAAACAAAGTTTGCGTTTCTTCACAAAATTTAAATTTTAAAATAATTCTGTATATTATTAAACAACAACAACGAGGCTTTAACCTCTCGGTTACGGCGGCTATATTAGAAAGCCAGCTCCTAATTGCAAATAATTATAAAATACCGATGTCGCCCTATTATGTGCACTTACCTTTTCAACGAGTTCGAGCTCTTTAGAATTGCCTTCTACCTTTGGTCGTTTTACTGAATTGGACTCATTTTCATCACTGGATATAACGAGTTCTGCGTCAACGCACTCTACAGGCATCTTCGATTTCCTACGCTTGTTAGCCTTTCCACTGCCAAGTGGCAATTTTATTTGCACTTTTGGTGCGCTTCCACTTGCTTTACTCCCGCTAGATTTATTTTTCGCACTTCCAGGTGTGTTAGACTTTTTCACGTTAATACTTTTTGGAGTACCGGTCTCTTTACCTTTGATCTCTTTCGGTTTGGGTGTATGTGGCGAATTTGATGCGTTCTTTTTTTTTAATGGCTTTGATTTAATGGTATTCGGTGAAGCTACAGCCAAGTTTTTGTCCTGCTTTTTTATGATTAATTCTTGATCATCCCCCTTTTCTTTTGCCTTATTTTCATCTTCGTCTTCCAAGATATCATCATCATCCAATAATACAACATCGTTATCATCATCTATTTTCTTTTTCTTTGCGCTGGTTAAGTTTTCTTTACTAGCCGATCGACCACGTAACGCATCAGATTCATCTTGTGCCGATTCAGACTTTTCTTCATAATCAAACGACAACCTGCGTTTTCTAGCATCCTTTGCCACCGTTTCTGTCTCCTTGGAAGCTGCAGAGCATCCCGCAGACGGCGTAGTAGCGGATGAAATTATTTTAAACGGCAGCCGTGCCTGCACAAGCTTCTTACCGCTGGATTTTTTTGCAGCACCGCCAT